CCCTACAACTTGGACTCAAAACAAATGTTGGGCCTAAGCCCTTTATTATTCAAACCTCCCATAATTGCTACCATACTATAACATGTAACCCCTGCATTTTTTATTAATTCTCTTATTTTATTAATTTATTTTTATAATTACATTTTTTTGTTCATTTATTACTTTTTTGCATATTAATATATTATTGGATATTTTAATATTTAATATATTTTTTAAATTATTAAATCTTTATTTATTCATCTAAACTCTTTTTTTAAATACTAACCCTTTTTAAATACTTTAATTGTATTAAAATACTTTTCTCATGTATTAAAATATATTTTCTCATATTGCACCATATACTCGAAAATATCTAACCAATCAAATACTAAGTTTTTCTACTAACATAATTCAAATATATTTATTTTTAAAAAAAGGATTATGAAATTTTCTTTTATCGACTACGAACTTTGTCTATAATTCAGCTATTCACACACCCAGACTTGGTTCAAGGAGAATTCAAGATATTTCCATAATCTATAGAAAAACTAATCAAACAGCTACGAACTACGAATTGGGACACTGATTCCTCATAAGAAGATACGTAGGCATACAACTTAAAAAATCGTGGCGAGTTTCCCTAACTAAAAAATTAAAACTCTATTCCTAAACCTTAAACCTAAACCCTAGTATCCTTGTGAACACGGTAGATGAAGGGTGCCTAACACCTTCCCTTCATCTAAAGTGAGTCAAGAACTTTGAATCTCAGTATTATCAAATAGGGTTATTTCGTTATATTCCCATCTTAGGATAAAAATTAATGGTGATAACTCTATATTTTTTTGCTGGTTATTACACAAAGTCGATAAATAAAATACAATCCAAAATGTATCAAGAGTACAAGTATTATAATCTATTGCATATGACGAACTCGGAGTCGGTCTCAGCATTGTGCCTACGCTGTCTTTAGTACTGTAGAGCCTCCCAAGCCTCTGGCATCATGGGATCTACAATGCCCCTCCCCGCAAAGCCATCTGGAAAGAGTCCTTTGTCTATACATGTCTGCCCAATCTGCATGATACGACGACACCTAGGCAACACATCAACAACATGAACTTTCTTAGTCTGCTCCTTCTCTAGTATCTCCCGATAAACTGGCATGGGTGGATCTCCTAGAACATCATGTACCATTACCATATAAGAATGTTACACCCCGAAGAACCACCAGATGTAACCGTATACGTAGCTCCAATTGCTCTCAACTATGGTACTCCTTGCCTCATCTGGTACCAGATGATTAACATAATCATCAAACATAGCATCCATATCTCTACGTTTTACAGTGGAAAGAACAGACACAAAATGATCTCTAGAAATGTACTGCATGTAGCCGAACTGACGAATGACGCACTCAGGCAGATAAGAACCCTTCAATCATGACCCACAAGTAGGGGTAGGAATAGGCCAGGACGGCCTACATAGGCCTATAGCCTAGCCTATTTAAGGTCAAGTCAGACCTATTTAATAAAAATGTCAGACTTAGTATTTTTTAAAATCTATTTAATTAAATAGGTCAAACTTAGGCTATTAAAAAAAATGAAGATTTATAGATCGGCCTATATTTTCATATATATTAAAAAGGGTTAATAGCATGCATGCCCCTGCCATATAGGAGACTTTTGCTTTTTCCTATTGTAAATTTTTTTTATAAAATCAATCTTGCCATACGAATATTCTCTTATTTTAAACAATGGTCAAAAATGACACACTTCAAATATCTATGTGATGCGCTAACTCGATAAATTTTTGACATTGAGATTTGAACTCATGACTTACTCAATGTATATAAAGAGCATTACCACTAGATCAACTTGTTTATTATCATTTGTATCTTAACTGATATATATATATATATATATATATATATATATATATATATATATATATATATATATATATATATATATATATATATATATATATATATATATATATATATATATATATATATATATATATATATATATATATATATATATATATATATATATATATATATATATATATATATATATATATATATATATATATATATATATATATATACTTGTTTGTCATTTTCCATATTTCTATAATATTTTTTGTTTAAACTATTTTATATTTTATATTTAATAATATTATATTATTTTATTAATTATTATTAATTTTATCTTTTAATTGTTAAAAACCAAATTATTTATTTCTATCATTTAATAACAATTAATAACAACAAACAAGATTAAGCAAGGATAGAAATATAAAATTAAATAATTTATTTTTTAACAATTAAAATAGAAAATTAATAATAATTAATAGAATAATATAGTTTAAACAAAAAAGATAGTATGGAAATACAACATAGGACAAATAAGTATGTAATATATACATCCCACTTAAAAAACAAGTCATAATAAACAAGTTCGCATAGTGGTAGTGGTCTTTACATGGAAGTCATGGATTCAAGTCCCATTATCTACAAAATTGTGGAATTTTACAACATATTTAAATTTTCCTCCAAAAAATTGTGGTATTTTACAATATTTTTAAATTTTCTAAACTTTAAATAATAATAAATAAAATGTTAACGTGATAATTAAAATAATTAGAAAAATAATAATAATAATATATATATATATATATATATATATATATATATATATATATATATATATATATATATATATATATATATATATATATATATATATATATATATATATATATATATATATATATATATATATATATATATTTGAATAAAGAAAAATAGATCGGCATATATATGCATATATAGGTCGGATTATAAGGCTTCTTAAGTTAAGTAATATGGATTAATTGAAAATCTTAGTGATAAACAAACTTTTAAATAGACTTTCAGGGCAAGTCAGACTAAGCAAAAAGAGAGCCTATAAAAGGCCATAGGTCAGACTCAAGCATTTTAAGTTTATTGTAGGCCAGACTCAGTCCTTCTAAATCATACCCTAGCCTAGTCTATTTTCTCCCTTACCCGCAAGCCAACCATCCCGAGTATAAGACTATGTCATCAAAGGGAATCGTCTCACGGTGATCAACGTAATAATGTAAGTGTATATCATCTGCTACCAAGCGGTCAATATACAATTTGAATGTCTCTGTTGCCTAGTTCCTTATGAGTAGGGAGAATGAAGAAGCATACGACATATCCTTAGTATAAGTTGGTAGACATGACCAACCATAGATGTGTGGGAAGTGCGGGAAGATCCAAGCCTGGAAAGTGTTGGAACACACAAATCATTACTTAGTAAGGACGTTGCAAAAAATTGATGAAAATGACACACAAGCACTAAAAGACCAAAAAATGTTACCGTCAGAAGTGTGATATTGCCTGTCGCGTTCTTCGTCTACGGGAATATGGAGGCGTGATGCCTGAGGAAGGGACCCGCGCCTGCTACGAGAAGAGGAAGAAGAATGCGGAGATACATGAGCTCTGGAACCTGACGTTTTCGCATCAACCGGGCTAGAGGTAGCAGGAGGCTGCAATTGTTGACTATTTTCTCTCCTAGCAGATTCATGTTGTACAAGTCTGCCGTGTCTCAATCGGAATTGTCTTTTAGCCATAATTCCTGTAAATAGACAAGACAAGCGTTACACAATGAATTCTGTAAAAAAAAAGGCAAAACATTGCAGACAAACTGATTCCAGAGTTGCATCTCCAATGTTTATAAACGTTAGAAAATTCCGAAGATGCATCTCCGAAATAAACTGTAATTATAACCACCGTGAGTGGCATAATGCAACCCCTAAATCATCAAAAATAATGCATTGATCGTAAAAAATACATATCTAATTTGTTTCTAATCAGGTATAAGCTATCAAACAAGTAAAGTCTTTCTATTTCATAGCCTAAACTTCAAATTCTACACATTTATACAAAAGCTTAAAATTTTTTATAAAAAAACTTACTTGTTGATGCTTGATGTTGCTTGTTGTTGGTTAACGTCGCTTAAAGTTGAATGTTTGAAGTTAAATGATACAGTTTGATGTTGCTTGAAAGTGGTTTGATAAATTTTGAGAAAACGGGGTTTGAGAGATTTTGATAAAATGGGTTTTTTGAGAATGTTTGAGTAAGTGAGGAAGGTGAAGGGTTTCTGGCGCATATTTGATCGAAAAGCATCTTAAGATGCATTTACGTAGGCTTTACAAAGATATATCTCCAGAATAATTGCACGTGGAGTTTGAGCCTAAGTCAGAGTTGTATTTAATTTTGGTGCATCCGAAAATTCATTTATGTACGGTATACGTAGACGTATCTCCGATTAATTCTTTCTATTGATTTAAAAGTGTGTTATAATTTAGTGCGTCCGAAAATATATCTCTAGAACCTGAATACATAAATATATTTTTATATGGTGTCCAAATAATATATAGGATGCATTAAAAAATTCCCATTCTTGATGATTTTAGAATTTTGATATTTGATTGTTAGTTATTACTCCTAAGATACTACAACAGAAAGCATTCTAAATGAACATGTAGGTATCATGTTTCCATGCTAGTCATCAATGTTTCTGAATGTCAAACATTGCATGCATCAATAATTCAATAAAGCATGAGTTACTCTGCGCATGGTGAGGAATAAGAAATATTGTCTATTGTGAATGAAGCAAAACATTGTTCTTTAATAATTAGAAATTACTATACAACAGCGGGCATAGATAATGATGACCAAGACAATCATTGAGCCTCCAAGTGTGCTAAAATGTACTCTCCTTTTCGGAGTAGATTGCGGGCGTGAATTGAATCAAGGCAAGCAGAGAGGGAAGTGGGGCTTACCCTATTTGAGATAAAATTTGTATGATAAGTAAGTCTTCATGCAATGCATTTCAAACATATTTCAGAACAAAATTGCAGCTGTTTTCAACTCCAAAAAAAGCTCTGCTATATATAAAGCGGATACATATTGAAATCATATGATCAATCAAAGGGTGCAACCAGACACTAGCATGGGGTGTAGCAATATGAAGAACGCGATGATAGCATTCTTGGCTCCTCTTCCCTCGATCCTCTTCTACCTTTCATTCATCAATAATTCTACATTCCCATCTCTTACTATTATCTCAACATGGCACCCTCTTGTATTGGTTAATATCCTTTTCTTCTTCAATGTTAATCTCCTTTTTTGGCTCATTGCACAAATCCAATCCAGCCACTGGATGATTGACCCTTATTGGACAGTGATACCTGTCATGCTTATCCATTACTATTCCTCGCACCCTTTGTCTAACTACGATACCTGGAGGTCAAAGATTGTCATCTTCTTGACTTGGGTGTGGAGTATAAGGCTCTTCCACAACTACTTCAGACGAGAAAAGTGGCAATGGGGTTCGAGAGAGGATTGGCGTTTCACTAATATGTCGCAACAATATGGAAAACAATGGTGGTGGGCTTCCTTCCTCTCCATCTACCTCCCTCACCAGTTGTTGCTGATTGGATTATCACTTCCAATGTATGTGATCCACTCAGTGAATCAGCCTCTCAACATATGGGACTTGGTAGCCGCAGTTGTGTGTATATCTGGCATCGTTATAGCATACATTGCAGACACTCAGCTATACAACTTTGTCATGAGTAGAAACAACGATGACAAGGGAATTACGATCCTGGAGATTGGGTTATGGTACTATTCTCGGCATCCAAATTACTTAGGTGAGCAGCTATGGTGGTGGGGACTGGTTGTGTTTGGTTGGAATTTGGGACATGGATGGACCTCAATAGGAGCATTGAGTAACACAATGTGTTTGGGTTATGTGACAAAACTCGTGGAACAACGAATGTTGAAGCAAGAGAAAAGAGCTGAAGCATATAGGATGTATCAGAACACAACTTCCGTTTGGATTCCCTGCTTCAACTTCAAATCTGCTTCTTCAGATTCACAATTCAAAATTAAGGATGCTTGATACTTGTGAGATTTCGTGTGATTTTCTGTTGAGAGTTTCATATACTCATATTTTGTGAAAGGGATTATAAGTGCTTCATATTTTATTTAATTAAGGTATTTTGTGAAAAAATAATTTTGCTATCCTAAAATTTATAAAGTATTTTGTAAAAATGGACAATAAGATTTTGGAAGAGAGTATTAAATTAAGAGAAAATAGGACAAAACAAGAGTTTACATTTATATCATTCAACTCATTCATCTACCCAATTAAACTTTCAATTTTTTTTTACGTATATAACTCTAATTTCATACCGTCAAACAAAAACCTCTAATTTCATTTTTTGAGAAAATATTAGACAAATTAAATAAAATAAGACGTTTTACTTAAAACCCTTTATTTTGAAGAATTTAATTTATATTTACCAACAGCTTTTTTACAAACTCCTACTTAGAATCTATTTTGTAGTATAACTTTATTTATTAAAAATACTTACATAAAGATTTAAATCATGAGATACAATTTTGGATAGTTGTATAAAAAATCTATATTATTAGTGCAGACAATTTTATTTTATTTTGTTAACTAGGGTCAAGTCAACTATGTCTTGATATATGCGTGAGTTAAAAGTTTCATATTATTTAAAAAAATGGAAATTGATTACTTTATAAGGGAGAAAAAATGTGTTTGAATAGAGTAATTGAATTTTTTTTTTAAATTTTAAAATTTTAAACAATCATTCCTTTGAAATTTATTCATTTTAAATTTTTGAGGACAAATTTAAAATTTTTGAAAAATAAGAATCAAATTGTAAATTTTAAAATTTTAAAAGGATTAATTTGGTAATCTCTCTCACTTTCTCGCAATCATTAATCCGAAGTTATTAACTTAATCATTATCACAATTAGTATTGAATTTTATTGTAACTGATAAAAAAAAGCAAGTTGTTATCACTACTTTTTATTCTAAGAACGGAAAAGAATGAATAACTCTAATTATTTAGAGATTCTAAGTTCGCGAGTTGGTTAGACGAAAGGAATGTGTTAAACACCCTTTATCTCCATTATTCTTAAGGGACTTCTTATTTTAAGGATTTGCTTTGGTTTTAACTGCGTGTCTACGTAGTATTTTTTTATAGGATTGCGTATAATTGCTTTCGAACTATCCTTGAATTTTATCTGGTTTTGAAAAGTGAGTCATCGTATAGGATGTCTGCAGTTAAGTTTGATAGCAACTCTATTTAATTCTTTTTTGAAAATAATCTTTGAACTTTTATTATATTAATAAAAAATATTTTAATTGGTTAGCTATTACAAAACTGTATATCACAACTGTGATAATTACACAAAATAAGCTTGGAATAAAGTGAATTTGCTAAAGCTTTGAATATGCGTGGTTTCGATAGCTTGGCAAATTTTGAGTGCGTACGTACGTGCTTCTTTTCACAAGCAGGCATGTTTATATAGGCAAGCAAGGATACGTTGTCTATAAAGCAGGTTTTAATGATAATAATGCACTTCCTTTTGTAGAAGATCTTTGTCTGAAGAAAACCGTTAGCATTTAATTTTGTCTTGAATAACTAGTAACGCTTCAGAGTCTTCTTTGCTGTATCTGCTGATAACGCTTCAGAGTGTTGATGACTTGGTAAAGATGTCTTTGATCAGAGTCAAAGTGTATTAGTTTAGGCGCAGATTCTGGTCATCAAGCTTCAGCGTATAATCTGGTAGCTTCAGCGTGTAGCACAGTTTGCTGATCTTCTGATGCTGATTTTATTCTGATGTTGATTCCATCAGAACTTCTGCATATACAAAACATAATTTTAAGGAGCATAATTGTTCTTTGTATATATCTTAGAAATAATTTATTCTTTGTATTTTGTTATCATCAAAACTCTAATCAAGGGTTGTAGAATCAAACTATATTCTAACAATCTCCCCCTTTTTGATGATGACAAAAACCAGATTTTTCAATAAAGAATAAAGAATAAAAAGTATAGAATTAAGACGAAAAAACTCCCCCTGAGTTGATTACTTCCCTTTAATTCCATGAGTCTTTGAGCATCAGAATCTTATTGTATCTTTCATCAGAGTTTTGTACCTGTTCAAGCTTTTCAGAAGAGAGAAATTAAGTAGATCAGAATGTTTGAGACTTATGTCTCAGTGATCCGTTATTGAAAATATCTTATTATTTCTCCCCCTTTTTGTCGGTTATCAAAAAGAACATATAATTAGAGCCAAAAGGAGTTTATATTAAAATCAGAATCAACGATAAGTTCAGATCATGTAGAGAATATTACAGATAAACAAATTTTAAAACAGAGGAAAATCTAAGAGGGAGGAGGAAGACGCGTGAACAAAGCTTCCAACAAGCCCTTGATCTGGATGTTGGTTTCCTCTTGCTTGGTTAACATGCTCTTGATTTCCGAAATTTTATCATCCGGTTTATCCATCCTTTCCTGCATCAAAATATCAGATCTCTTCAGATCTTCCAGAGTCTGCCTTTCATAGGAGGAAGCTTGAGAATCTTCAGTAACTGGATGCATCTCAGAGCATTCTGCAATGTCATCTTTTTGACCCAGTTCTTCTGCAGGAATCATCTGCTCTGGAGTATCAGTCAGAATGAGATCTTCTGACTCTGGTTGAACTTTGTCTGCTGGACGATGTTCTGACCAGGGAGCATTGTCTAGAGGGAGAACTTCTTCCTTGAGCAACTGGCTCAGAACTTGATCTTCAATTACTTTTAGCAGATTACTGAAGTTCTGTTGAACTTGTCCGTAGATTTGTTCTTGCATCTTATGAGTTTCAGAACATACCCATTTTCTGAAACTTGTCCAAAGATAATCTGATGCAGCAGGATGAATCAGCTCAAGACTAGCTTGCTTCAGGGAAGTTATCCACTTCTGTATTTCTGTTTCAAATATCAATAAACTGGTACCAACATCTTGTGTAGGTTCAGAGGGTTTTGGTTTTGGAATGGCTGTTTTGTGGGTTATGGCAGCAAGGCATTCAAAAACAGTTAAATCAATGACAGTTTTGGCGTTGTCATTTGGATTGTTCTTTGGTGAGGGAGTGAGAGAGTCAGGAATGATTATTGGACTAGTTGGGGAGTTTGGTGGAGTTGATTCAAGTGAAGATAGAATTTGGGGAATATCCAGAATGGTCAGGGGCATACGGATGGCCAGAGGTTCAGTGATTTCAGGAATGGGAATGAGATCAGAATCAACAGTTTGGTTGGATTGAATGTGATGAGGTTCTGGTTCACAGGATTCAGAAGATTGGACCTCAGAAGTTTGAACTTCTGGTTGTAATAGTTTAGGTTGTGGAGAAGGTGGATGAATTTTTAGTTGAGGAGATGGAGGTAGTGGTATTTCTGGTTGAGGAGAGAGTGGAATTTCTGGTTGAGGTGCTTCTGAAATGGTTTCAGAGTTTGGATTTACTGGTATGGTTAAAGTTTCTGAGGGGTCAAATTCAATGTCAAAATCATCAAATGTTTGTGGGGTAGGAATTTCTGATTGGGTAGGGATTAGTACAGATGTTGATACAGATACTGAATCTAAAACAGTTACAGAAGAAGTATTACCTCTCTTTTTAGCTGCTTTGGGAGTCCGCTGGGATGATCCTTCTGCTGCTGCCTTCCTTTCCTTGTTCTTCTTCAGCACAACTTCTGGAGCCTTCTGCTGTAGACCCTGAATGTTTAAATTCGGTGTTGTACCATCTGCCTTGCATGCATCCAGATATCTGACTATAATCTTAGGCTTGGAATCAATTTCTGAGAACATGGGAAAGTCATCCAGAGGGATTCTTCTGCTGAAGATTGTTGCAAAAGAAGTGACATTGGGTTCCTTCTTGATGTTCTCAATAATCTTCATCTTCTTCAGATTATTTGCATTCAAAGGTTTTCCAACAGTTGCCTCTAAAGTGTTGATTTCCTGTGCTTCTGTTAGATGATCTATCAGCTTATTCTCTGTCAGAATATCTGATATGAGTCTTCCAAGGGGTATCCAGTCCCTTTTAGTGCACTCCTCTTCTCTAGTCTCCTTAACACTAGTCCTCAGATGATTGAACAACAAATGCGCCAGATTCACCTTAATCTTCTGGGAGATGAAATAGATCAGAAACTGCTGATCAATGTTGATGTAGTCAGGAGAGCTGGTTGGCTTCCTGTGGTTTATGCATCCCAGAATAATATTAGCCCATATTCTGTGATGGTCTTTCAGATCCCTTATCTTGCTGGAGGGAAGACCCAGAGTGAAGATTTCTCTAGCAATTAAAGCGACATCAACACATCTCTCAGCCATGTCTATGCATCTTATGCCACCACCACTGTAACCTATCAATCTTGCAATAAGGTCTTCAGTTATGAATATCTTCTTCCCCATTATATACGAAGTAACTTGATGGTTGGAAGATGAAGCATGAATACAAAATTCCTTCACAAGGATTGGGAACGTTGGACCTACCAGACTGTCAAAATACCTGTTCCATCCTTGAGCCTTTACTTCTTCAGAAAGATTGAACCCGTTTTTTTGAAGACTATTAAAGTCCACAATTAATTCTGAGAGTACTTCTAGGTTGTTAATGGGTGTGAGGAGAGTTCTGAATGGTTCTTCATATTGTTCTGTGGATTATGTTCTCTGAGTACTGGAAGTTGGGTTGCTTGAGGAAGCCATGTTTACACAGAAAAATTTGAGAAGAAAATGAAAGGGTTTTGAAAAAGATGCAAACTGAAAACAATTAGATTGTAGAGAAGGTGAAAGTGAAAGAGTGTAAAGAATGAGAAATGTATTTAAATAGATTTTGAAAACTTAAATGGCAAGAGAGAGAAATAAATTGTAATGATTATAAGCATTAATGACAGCTGATTTTGGGGGATTCAAAAAGATATTGGAACGGTTACCCATGACATGTGTCTCAATGCATCCAATCAGCGCTTTTGACCTTTCAGAAAAGTGAACGCGTGTTCAGTCTCAGAAGGTAGCTGATGAAAGGAACTGTTTGCTTACGTGAACAACACACTTCTAT